TTATTAACTGTGTGACCCTGGTCAAGTCGCTTAACCTTTCTTAGCCTCAGTTTCTTCATCCGTACAATGGGAATACTAAAAGCAACTATCTCCCAGAGTTGTTATGAGGTTCAAGTGTGATAATGTATGCAAAGCAATTTGCAAATTTTAAAGCACTACGTAAATGCTAGCTACTACCACTTGGGATGAAATATTTATGAAATGGCTTGTATACTTTCCTGTCTTCTTAAATATGGATACCTAACTTATGATGTGATTTGGGCCGTAAATGCAGGAGCCCTTCCTTCCCACTCCCACCTCCCTACCCTTCACATAAGCTCCTCAAGGACAGGGTATCTAATTTGTTTGTGTACATTCACTGCCCAGCAACGTGCCTTGGGCATGGTGGGTGCTTAATACCCACCATGTATTTATTGAATTCAATTTTCATTACTCAAAGTAATCATTATGAATATACAGTTCTGTGCATACCTTTTCTGTGAAGTTAGCTTTTCATTGTCTCTCTGTAACTGCTGAAATAGCTGAAAAATTCTCAGTCTGGCACTTGAAGCCCACCACAATCTACCCACTTTTCCAGAGATCCTCTTCATACCCAGCTAAGCTGGCATATTATTTGTTCTTGGAAGATCTAATAGCTCCCTGTAATAGCTCACTTCCACCTGCCCCCTTCTGGTTTGCTGCTTCTCAGTCTCTTGGGCTGAGAAAACAGAGTTGTTATGCTGTGGATCCTGGATCAAATTCAAATGATTTTCTTATTCGCTTAACCCCTAATGTTGTTTTACTTTGAATGCTTGGGAAGTTCGGAAGCTGAGCAAAATTCCAGACGAGGGATTTTGAATACTCCCTTAAGGTTGAAGGGAACCCCTAGGGACCATTCCTAAGATATGTACTGCTTTATCTGGTTATGTTTCCCTAACAAATAAGGGACCAGTGGGGATAGGAAGGATGAGGAAGGGGGTGGGAGTGGGGAGAACTTCCTTATATGAAATGCATTTACAACTAGGATGAGATAATGTAAGTGAAAGTATATAAAGCTGCAATAATACCATCAGGGCTA